TCAGACATCCTGTAGGTAGTAGGATGAATAAGCATCTCCACTGAGGAGGAATCTCCCCCCCATTGAATACTTAGGTGAAGCTGACAACTCAAATTAGATGCTAAAGGGATTATATGGAGATCTCTGAAAACCTGTCCATGTTGTTTTGCTGCTCTCCCTCTTGTATTGCTTTGCTGTTACCCTACAGAAAGAGGCCTGCAGCACAGAAAGCAGTATCAGTGTTTTCATGTGGCACAGAGGTTTCAGCAAGTCCTTGAACAGTAGAGTTGGAGACAAGAGAAGCACTGGTTGAATAGATGAAGGAGATCTTCCTTGTTTTCCAGCCTGCTTTCAACATTTCAGGCTTGCAGAGGCCAACTGTATAGTTCTTTCACCAAGAAGTTTATTGTGACCCAATACCCTTGAAAGGGTGCAATTACATTTGCAGGGACCGCACTGCTCGCACTCGTGGGGATATCACCATCGACAAACCCACAGGAGAGCAGTCTTTCACAGGAGGCACTGGCAGCTGGCCTGAAGGTGTTGGAAGTCAGAAGGTTCCCAAGGATGCAGCCACTGCAGGAAGTGATGGAGAAGGAGGGGCTGCAGGGAACCCTACAGCCGATTCTGTTCCATTTAAAGGCGTGGTGAAGAACAGATCTGGTTGCTTATGGGGACTTCAATGAGAAATGTTAAATTTATTCTGCAAATTGAAGGTTCTTTGCTTCACATGAGGAGCCATCTCCATCCCTATCTCTCTGTAAAAGCCTAGTGTAGGCAAGACAAACGCAGATACTTTCTCAGTGTAACTAGTCTCAATATTATTTTCCCTTCTTCCCTTCCCAGTGTTCCTGCCCTTAAGTGTTTACCTTGACCAGCAACATTAAAATAAAAGCCAGTGCCATTCAGGACTGTAGACAAGAACTTCCCCAGAGAAACAACATGCCCTCATTGTAACTCCCTTCCCTAGAGCTGCCCCTGATGCAATGGGATTGGCTCTTGGGAGGACTCAGCAGCCTGTCATCCTTTCCCTTGCTTTGTTCCACAGGACTGGTGGTTAGTCACAGCCCGATGAGTTCCCTCCCTGTCTCCTTCCTTTGCCACATCTTTGTGCCGTCACTTGCATCCGGGTCTCACCCCTTAACCACATCAGGAGGTTTAACCTGAGGCAAATACAACAAAACAAAACAAGCAAGCAAACCTGTCTCCCAAGCGTTAATTACAACACACAGAGTGGTTCCCAGGTAAAGCACAGCAGAATGGATTCATCTGCAGCAGCAGGTGGGACAAGTTGCTGTCAGGAAGTCATTGCAAGCAGTGATGCCATGGAGCTGGGCTGCGCAGCAGAACAAAGGGGACCTGGACCAAGTCTTCCTTATTTTTCTGCCTGTTGGGGGTCACTTCCTTCTGGAAGGTGGGCAACCACATGCCGAAGGGTGCTGGGGTCTCTATAGCAATCACAAAAAGGCAGGTGACGCAGGCTCCTGCACCCAGTGTGTTACAAGCCACGTGTGTCTAAGAACTCTAATAATCTTAGTCAAATATTAAACCACAGTGCAGTTTACCCCCCCTGAGTCATCTCCTCAATAGTTATTGCAGGACTGAGAGCAGACACCGCTCAAAGACAGACGAATGTTAACTATGACTCAATGTTTCAGGACCCCTTAAAAAACACTCCTAAGTCATAAAAATCACACACCCTACTTTCCCTTCACACTAATATGAACACCACACAGCTCAGCTGAAGTCACAGGAAGTTGTTAGTTCGGCAGAAGAGGAGGGCTGCAATGAGATTTCTAGGTTAGGAGGGCACGGAGGAGGTTACTGAGTTGGAAGGAAAGCTGCCTAGTAGAAATCCTTGACCTTGGAACTAATCTCAATTAAAATTTTAATAACTGAACCTCTCCAGAAGAAACCAGGCAAATTTAGAAACTGTGCTACCAGCAGAGGTAGGATGCATCATCCTACAGTGGAGGACCAAAAACATGACCTTTACAGGTCAAACCAACAAGCCAGACCCATCTGCCAAGCAGAAAAAAAAAAAGAGTCAAATTTAAGAATATAGGGAATATAAAAAGTAAGATCACATACTTAGGAAATTGTCATTAAAATTTTAAATGAGGGCTGATCAGCTGAAAATGGCAGAAAGAACAAGACTAAGATCCATAAAACATGTACTGTTCATAAGCTGGCTCTGCAGTGAGCCTATGAACGTACTAATACAATCCTAAGATGTATTCAGCAATGTATTTCCAGCAGAGACAGAGAAGATTAAATACTTGGTAATGGTGATCGGTTTAGACTGTGGCATAGAATTCTGTAACACATATCTAGTAATAAAAACCCTGAAACTGGAAAATGGGCAGAAAAAAAGGCCATTAGGATAACAAAGGGGAAATGCACCCCTTCTGCCATAAAAGAAGTGATGGAAAGATCACAGCTCACTCGCACTAGCAACCTGAAGACTGAGTTAGGACATGATTTCACTAAAATAAACACAGTCAAAGAAGACAAAAGGAGAGAATCTTTTGAAATGAAAGGACAATACTGCACAAGAAACCCACATATAAAGCAACTATATCTGGGGTGAGCAGCAGAAAACTTTGCAGCAGGACATTAGCACAGCCCTCTGCTGAGAGCAAAAGCTATTAAAACCCCCCACTCTACGATTTATCAGCTTATGAAGGGGCTCATCCCTCCGTATACATTTCAAAAAATTAAAAAAGGCTAGAGATGCCAATCCAGGAGTCCTCCCAGCTCTGCGTTTGTAGGAGTTACATTACCTGCACAAGCAGGAGACGTCATGTCTTTCAGGTTTGCAGGAAACCCTTGACAGAGACTTTGTAACCCAACATTACTGCTGACGTAGATTGGATTATTGCCAGTTAGACAAAAATATGAAGCCACACTGTTCAGGGCAGTTCTGCCAGTGCGGAGATCCAAACTGGTTTGTGAAGGGGATGGGGCCAACTGCTCCCAGAGTAGCACACTTGTGTGTCGGGGAATTGCACTGAGTCTCACCCGGGTCCAGATCAAAATCTTTAAATATTTATTCAGGAAGAAGTCTCCTCCAGGTTAAATATAAGAGAGAGCCCTTAGCAAAGCGCTTCAGGCAGTGCAGGATAAAAGAAGGAGACAACCTTGACATCACTTTTATTTCTCCTGCACGTATTTAGAAGACATGCAAGGCAGTGAGGCCGGCTTTCCCTTTGCCAAAGGCACGGTCTGCAGGTGGGCCCTAAAGACCTGGTATAGAGATGGGGTCTGAGAGTGTGGAGTGGGAGACACCCATGCTTCTTCTGATAAAGATTTGTATAGCCAATAAGGAAAACAAACATCTCTCTGCTCTGCAGACATGCATGTTTCCTACTGCCCTGCCATCTATTTTTATGGTTTTGGCTTTGCCTATACCTTGTTTTATACCCTACCATAGCCAGATCAAAGCAATTCCCTTTTCCAAACAGAAGTCGCTACTATACACAAATGTCAGCATCAGGTCACAGAAAGTCATGACGGGTACTGAAAAATAATATTCCTACAATATTACCTTCCCATTCCCTTTCCATTACCTTACTCTGTGACAGCCAGGAGGAGGAAATATATGTCTAAGAACTCTCAATAAATATAATGAGCTTACATGAGGCTGGATCAGAGATACAGAAAGAAGCAACAAGAACTGAAGCACTGGACACCAGAATGGTCGCCAAAACTGCAAAGCCAGCAGGCTGCTTAGCATGCATCTCTTTTTGAAGCTATACCACTCAATACCATCTCACATTTGCTGCTGTTGTTTTAAGTGATGCAATATTTCGTTACAAATAGTGTCTAAGCAAATTACAAGCACTCCCTGCTCTCCTAAGGACTATGACAGAGGGGTAAGAACTGCTTACCCAGGGGCTTTAGGACTATTTATAGACAGAGGGGGTAGATGACACCAGTATATCTGTTCAACAGATGAATTTGATCACAGATCTGCAGGCAGAAGCAGGACAGGAGAAAATACATGGAAGTTACAGTAGGCAGCCTTTGTGCTCCCGTGGCCCCAAACAGCACCGTCCTGCAAGGCAAAGGCACTATAAACCGACTGTGACTGATCTATATGACATTAACGAAAGTAGTGAAATGCTGGTCATCAGTGTGGAAGGGGTGAGTTTTCACTGCTGCTGTGCCAGAGCTCCTGTCACACAGACAGCCTTTGGGCACGCTATCAAGCGCCTTCACTCAAGAGGAATATCACGTCCCAAGAGCAGGGAATTCACCGTTCCAAGATGCCTGCACTGAGCAGGAAACCACTCGCAGCAGCCATGGCAGCAGGCGCCGTAGACATGGCTGCAAGGTTGACCCATTGAGGTTAGCAAGACCTGGGCCAACGGTGCTCTGCCCCGCAGCTGGCCACACCGGAGGGCGAGGGCTACCCCCGGAGGACACAGACCAGGTGCTCCCCGGCCTTCGGTGCCTTCGAAGCACCCCAAGCGGAGGGACACGGCCAGCACCCAGCTGGCGGGATGCTCGCCCCGAGTGGGTCCTCTCGCACCTGCGGGAACGAAGCACCGCCCCGGGCTGCGGCGGGGGGGAACCTCCGCTCCCTCGGCCAGAGGAGTGAAAAGTGCTATCGGCCCCGCTCTCC